CATCAGCATTACATAACAAATGATATTCTGAACCAAGCTCCTCCAGCATGTACCAGTTTGAATTTCAGTGTGGTCATGTATGCACTGGAGAAACCTCAAAGGAGATGGAAGCTAAGAGGTAAGGAGCCTAAGGAGTACAAATGAACTCGATTTCTTGTCAGCAGTCACACCCAAATACAATGGACCAGCTCATTCACTTTGAATTATAATATGCTGAACATATTCTGCACAGTGTATGATAAGCAGTGGACCCCCCCAGCTAAAAGAAAACTGCCTGCTGTGATAAACTTTTGCACCAGCCAAAAATCTTCAAGTTTAGGCTCACAAAAAAATTAGCTATAACTAACTGAAATGGAGAGTACAAGGTGAATGCAATGAAATTCATTCTTCCATGTCTGAAATGCAAGTGTGGGGTTGCACTTTGTGGCATGACCTAAGCAAAGCATCCTCACTCAGGCATGCCAAACCAGGAATGTTAAAGGGGAAATTGGCACAATCGTCATTGTTTGACTCTCTTCTGCTCCATTGTCGACAAAGCCAGCAGACACTTGCCAGCTTTGCCTCAAAGAGTCAGGACCTATCAGGGGACTGTTTTTTTTTGCATACAATGTGTTTGTGTGGTTGTTCTGTTGGTTGTGTGTGTGTGAGATTCTCAAGTAGGACTGTTCTTGCCTGTGGCTAGGCTTTATTGATTGGAAGTAAAAGATGATTTATCAGGGACTCCTTGAAGGAGGATCTGGCCTCCTAAAGGCTGTGCACTGAGTTTCATTTCTAAACCTTTGTTGGTTACAGGCCCAACAGCAAATGCTCTGGAATGGGAGTAACTTGGTGTTTTTCTTTTCATACTGTTGATTTACTCCAGAATCGATTGCTTCTATTTCATACATTTTCTCGCTGTTGTTTTATCTTAGTAGTGAATACTGCTGTGGACTTGAAACTGTTCTCCTCAGAAGCATGGTTCCTACACCACATAAAATTTTCTGATTTTGAAGTTTTTCTTCTGTACATGTATACAATTTTGAGAAGGGACCGTGTAACAGTGAAAAAAATATTATCGCACGCAAGTTCTGTGGGAAAACGTAAAAATGGTGGCTTCATGTCGGTACATGGAAATGGAATCGGCACTGGATGGACTTGAACCATCATAAAAGTGGAAAGCCGTGTGAAAGTTATACAAGAAGCGCGTGGCAATCCACGCCCATGCAGGTACTAATGAAGCCGATAATTTCTTTGGCACGAAGAGGAGTCCCAATGAATGCGCCTGAAACATGCCTTCATATGCATCGACCTTTTCTTGCCCGGCCTGGGTCAAAGACAACACGAAATCCATGTATTTTTCGATTGCACTGACCGCGGAAATCGTCTCAAGACAACCGCAAGTTCCGGAATTGCGAATCTTCCCAAGAAAATATGCCGCATTCTATGATGGTGCTGTAAACATTATTGTTTCTTGAAGAATGAACCCATTGATTTTCCAAGTGACTTCTCGCAATTATGAAGGAAAACACATGTCCAGCACAATTCAGACACCGCTTCAGAAGATGTTGGGCAACCACATACGCGCCAAACAACCTGAAATTATTATAATCTATAAAAACGAGCAACTACAATAGAGCCACTTCTCAATGACAACCACTTTTCGAGGAAATCACCCTGCCTAAAAAAAAAGAAAATCAGAACGGATTTCTCTGTTTCTTGGTTCACCAAAGAACCAAGAACACATTTGCAATCAAACTTCTGCAGTGAAAAGGTGTACAAAATTCCTAAATTTTGAAGAGTTCTGCTGAGCTGTCGCAAGTGTTATAAAAAATGTATTGTCTGTTCAAATCTTTTGTTGGGACAAATTGAAATATAGCTCAAATAGTTTTAAATAGAAAATCCTAAAGCATCGGCCTCGTCCCAGGCTGATTCTGCTTTTTATTCCTATTTTTGAACTTCGCTTTATTCCTCATTTTTAGATCCACTAGCAAATTTCTCAAATTGATGTTAAGTTATTTCTCAACAGAAGATAATACCTGGTGGTGATTTCTTAAGCAGGGTCCCTCAATTAACCTAACATTCAGAAATTAAAAATTTACTTCAACAACACTCCAACTGGCTACTATAAAAAATGAAAAAGGCTTCCACTAAGCTGAGAACTTCAAAATGGAAATTCAAAATGGAAAATGGAAAATGCATGTCGCCGGGAATAAAACTGGATAAATGTTTTATGGCTCCTGGGAGAATTACATTAAAATGAAGTACTGTACATAACTTTTTTTACAGTCATGTTCATATATGAGGTTTGATGTGACTTTTGAACATACAACAACATTTTTGAATATAGGTTCCAGATTCAATTTGGTAATCTTTTCTTTTTTGAATTTATCAGATTGTCCAGATTTTCAGCTGCTAATCTAGTACTGTATAGCATTCGGAAACAGCAAAAGTCATATTGCCAAATTCAAATGAGTTTTATCTTGATTTCCACTCAGTTTTTAAAACCTTCTTTGCAGTTTTCAAAAACGCACTTTTCTTTTTTGGCGCAATAATTGTAACGCATGAAGATGCACTGCTGATCCTCCGGATTTTTTAGGAGGACAAAAATCGAGTTGCTTGCGCTTGTTGTATTTCTGTTGAATATCTGATTTAGGATCCCGGAATTCAAAAGAGAATTGTTTGACGATTTCAATGACAGAGAAATCGAGGAGAAGATGATACGAATTTCTCTGAGATGACAGCTTGTGTGACCTTTCTTTCTTGGCGGGGAATAACAATTCTGAAATATTTTTGTATAGAGAGGGGAGGGGGGCAAAACATTGTCGCCGTGAAATTAACATTTTTTTTTTCCAAATGACATCGCGCAGTCAGCTGTTCCATGGTTTACACCTGCGTAAATAGTTATTCGAACAACATATATCCTGCTAATGATGAGTTTGCGAAGGTGTTCCCAGTCCCACACTTTCAATTGATAGGAGTGTTATGCAAATTTCTATTTTCACTGATAATAATTGAAGGCGAAAGCGCTCGTAATGCGTGGTTTCGTATCTTGCTTCATAAAATCGTTGTTGTGATCCGCGTGTTCTTGAATGACTTTCGGCATTACCAATTGATGGTTGTGCCGGATAGTCAGTATACAGTAATTTTCATAGTGTCTTCCTAATTTCAGAAATCGCATTGAAGTTTGCACAAGAACATTCAGAAGATTGCATAAGAACACGCGTGACACCTTCTTCAAACGTAGACCGAACCAATACGAGGTCGAAATGACCTCGCATTATGAAGTTGAATTTCAGGGTAGCTTGTACATTTACGGTATCCATGCTACATGAGTCCTCATTAAAAGCTTGAACCTTCGTGCTTGAATTGAAAAAAAAAAAACTGCATGCATGGCTTTCAGTATACAGTACTATTTTTTCCACGGCGTGGGAACATATTTCACTGTTCGGAAAATTATTACAATGAACAGCAACTGCAGCCCATTAGAAGAGGGAACGTTTTAAGTCTGTCAATTCTTTGAGCATTCACGGTAGCTGCTGTGCAAGTAAAACCTCAATTTTCTTTTTGTATCACAGAATCATCTGCCAGATTTTATTGGAGCATTAATGTATATTTTACCCATTCCAATCTCCGAAAAATTTTTCCCGTTAGATTCGATACAAGTGCCGCCAAACAAAAATTTACAACATTTGCAAAAAAATCTTTACTTGAATATCCGCACTCCACTTCTTGAGCTTGGTTTTTGAGGAAATGGATTCTGAGGGTTGCTCAAATAACTACGGTAATCAGCAAAATGATCTAACATTTAATAAAAAAGCTCTTGAGATATTGTACCTGATAATTATCAAATACGCCATCATCATTGGTGTCCCGTCAATTCCCAATAAGAAGCCCCCGATAAATCGTCATCCTTGGCAGCTGCCAACATTTTGCATCTGGCAAATTTCCTGTTAAATACTCTAGAAAAAAAACCTGGATAGGAGGCCAACTGCCATTCTGAAACAAGAGTGATGTTTGGCATTATTTTTGTGTGTGTTTAAACGCCATGTTATGGGGTGAAATTCCTGCTTAGAATCTTGAATTCTCCAAAACAAGAGATGAAAATGTTTCTTCTTTGAATAATTTCAACAATAGATAGACCGATTCGCAAATTCGAATAAATTTGACGGCAAAATTATTTTTTCAATACTCTTCCGAAGTTCATTTCCAGTAAACATGCATCTCAGCTATTTTTGAAGGACAATGGGGTAATCGCAATTGAATAATTTAAAATGAGCTATTAGAAAAACCGCCCTTTAAGCCACAAAAATCTCCTTAGGACCCCAGAAAAATGGCGGCATCTAATGGGGCTTGACTGTAACACAAGGGAATGCATACTAGAGAATAATGGGGAAACTACATTAAGACCCCAAGATGCGGATGTAATTGGTGCATCAAGAGTGTCTCTAAGTCAAAATGTCCCTAAGTTGAGTCTCATTTTCCTCAGACTTACATTAAATAATTTTGAATTGGTGTTTTATGGCCAAAATAGCTCACCATAATTCCATGAAAATAAAAATTGTCTCTCAACTGAAACTGATTCAATCCATATATTTCAACACAATATGGACATTTGGAGATTTGAATACTGATACCTCTGTACAGTACATAAACATGTTGGCATTTTCTGTAGAAATAATATTCAAGTGAAAAAGAGAAAAGGAAGTCCCTCTATGCTGGAGGTAATTTTTTAAATCAGCTAAAAGGATGGTAAATTGGTGAGAGAAATGCACAAGAACTTTTATTACTTCACTTTTAGGGTTGGAAACATCTGTTTCTTGTAATTTTGCTTAAAACATATTTGCAATTTTAGCACACAATGTCCACATGTTGAGTCAGTGTCCTCATGTTGTGCCTTTTTTTTTAATTTTTCATGGGAAAATAAGTGTCTATATGTCAAGTTGTCTGCATGTCAAGGTGTACAGCACATGTGGGGGTCTCACTGTAAGCACATCAATTAACACAGACTTGCATTCCAGATCATGCAGTTCAAAATGAAGGTTCTCATCCTCCTGTGCTCAGTCGTTTCCGTGGCATTCAGTCAAAACGTGGGCACGAACACGCAGGAGCAGCACTTGTCCCTGCCCATGCAAGTCTGCAGCGGCCCAGGCAGTTGCAGCTCGGAGCAGACCACAGTCGTCATGGACGCCAATTGGCGCTGGACGCTGTTGAATTTCAGGGTAGCTTGTACATTTACGGTATCCATGCTACATGAGTCCTCATTAAAAGCTTGAACCTTCGTGCTTGAATTGAAAAAAAAAAAACTGCATGCATGGCTTTCAGTATACAGTACTGTTTTTTCAACGGCGTGGGAACGTATTCCTCTGTTCGGAAAATTATTACAATGAACAGCAACTGCAGCCCATTAGAAGAGGGAAAGTTTTAAGTCTGTCAATTCTTTGAGCATGTACGGTAGCTGTTGTGTAAGTAAAACCTCAATTTTCTTTTTGTGTCACAGAATCATCTGCCAGATTTTATTTGAGCATTAATGTATATTTTACCCATTCTAATCTCCGAAAAATTTTTCCCGTTTCGATACAAGTGCCGCCAAACAAAAATTTACAACATTTGCCAAAAAATCTTTACTTGAATATCCGCACTCCACTTCTTGAGCTTGGTTTTTAAGGGAATGGGTTCTGAGGGTTGCTCAAATGACTACGGTAATCAGCAAAATGATCTAACATTTAATAAAAAAGCTCTTGAGATATTGTACCTGATAATTATCAAATACACCATCATCATTGGTGTCCCGCCAAATGTATAGTCAATTCCCAATAAGAAGCCCCCGATAAATCGTCATCCTTGGCAGCTGCCAACATTTTGCATCTGGCAAATTTCCTGTTAAATACTCTAGAAAAAAACCTGGATAGGAGGCCAACTGCCATTCTGAAACAAGAGTGATGTTTGGCATTATTTTTGTGTGTGTTTAAACGCCATGCTATGGGGTGAAATTCCTGCTTAGAATCTTGAATTCTTCAAAACAAGATATGAAAATGTTTCTTCTTTGAATAATTTTAACAATAGATAGACCGATTCGCAAATTCGAATAAATTTGACAGCCAAATTATTTTTTCAATACTCTTCCGAAAATTTCCGAAGTTCATTTCTGGTAAACATGCATTTCAGCTATTTTTGAAGGACAATAAAGTAATTGCAATCAAATAATTTAAAATGAGCTATGAGAAAACCTGCTTTTTAAGCCACAAAATCTGACCCCAGAAAAATGGCAGTGTTTAATCAGGGCTTGACTGTAACACAAGGGAATGCATACTTACAGAATAATGGGAGAAATAAAGTAAGACCGCAAAATGGGGATGTAATTGGTGCATCAAGGGTGTCCCTAAGTCAAAATGTCCCTAAGTTGAGTCTCATTTTCCCTCAGAATTACATTATATAATTTTTAATTGGGGTTTTATGGACAAAATAGCTCACCATAATTCCATGAAAATAAAAATTGTCTCTGGATTGAAACTGATTCAATCCATATATTTCAACACAATATGGACATTTTTGGAATTGAATACTGATACCTCTGTACAGTACATGAAAATGTTGGCATTCTCTGTATAAATAACATTCAAGTGAAAAAAGAGAAGGAAGTCCCTCTACGCCAGAGGTGGTCTTTTAAATCAGCTAAATGGATTGTAAATTGGTGAGAGAAATGCCCAAGAACTTTTCTTACACCCAGTGAGCAAGAAATTCTCCAAAAGATGTCCAAAACTCATCCAAATGAGTTCCATGGACATCATTTGGAGAAAATGCCCTAAAAATGGTGCTCTGAGGGACATATTCGGAGAACTTGTTGGCCAGAGGAAAAACTGCCAGACACTGACATCAGAAATGTGTGGAAAAGTTCTCCAAACTTGTTTGCAATTTTCTGGCACCAATGACACTGGTGCTAGGAATATGCAGACAAGTTTGGAGAACTTGTCTGCAAGTTCCTGGCACCAGTGTATAAACCAAATTTTCAGAGTGACTCCACATATAATGGGCTGTAGCTGTCAACCTATGGGGTTCAACTCCCCATCCAGAGGTCCTGGGTTGGATTCCCAGTTAGGGAGCAACTTCTTAATTCCTTAAAATAAATGTGCAGCAATACTCTAGCATAGGTAGGTAGGTTAGCTAGGTAGTGGAATAGGTAATTGATTAATTGTAGATAGGAAATTACGTGCAGTCACTAGCTAGATAATATGCATAACCAGGCAATATAAATAAATTCTCCAGAATAGGTGCAATGTAATTTGAATGTTAGTAAAGCATCTAGAAGACCAATATAGAGTATGAATGAATAATTCTTACACATGTGCAGAGGAATGTGAACTTCCCAGGTGGGTGGAAAATTTTATTACAATTTAGCAGAATTAAAAAAGAAAAAGAAAAGTTTTAGAGGAAATTGGGACATTTTTTGATAAAAATTGGACACATTGTCCCATCTTTATCCAAAATATGTCCCAAATCCCTCCAAAACTGGTCCGTTTTTGATCCAAAAGTCATCCAGAAGACAACCACTTTTGGATGACTTATGGATGAAAATTGGACATGTTGTCAAATTTTCATCCAGAGCAACTTGTCCAAAACTTGTCTGTTTTTGGCAAGATTCTCAGATAAGTTGCTTTGGATGAATTTTGGACCCAAAACGGACATTTTTGTGCTCACTGGGCATCCATTTTAGGGTTGGAAATATCTGTTTCTTGTAATTTGGCCTGAAATGTTTTTTATCACAAACTTTCCGTATGTTGATTCAGTTTCCTCATGTTTGGCCTTTTTATAATTTTTTCATGAGAAAATAAGTGTCCCTATGTCATATTATCTGCATGTCAAGGTGTACAGCACATGTGGGGGTCTCACTGTAAGCACATCTATTAACACAGACTTGCATTCCAGATCATGCAGTTCAAAATGAAGGTTCTGATCCTCCTGTGCTCAGTCGTTTCCGTGGCATTTAGTCAAAACGTGGGCACGAACACGCAGGAGCAGCACTTGTCCCTGCCCATGCAAGTCTGCAGCGGCCCAGGCAGTTGCAGCTCGGAGCAGACCACAGTCGTCATGGACGCCAATTGGCGCTGGACGCACAAGACGAACGAATTCGTCAACTGCTACACCGGCAACACGTGGGACGCGTCCATTTGTCCCGACGCAGCGACGTGCACGCAAAACTGCGCCGTCGACGGCATCGACACGAACACCTGGTCCGGGACTTACGGAGTCACTACCTCGGGCAATGCCTTGACGCTCAAGTTCGTCACGAGTGGTCCGTTCAGCAAGAACATCGGGTCCCGAGTTTACCTGCTCGCCACCGAAGACAAATACAAGTGAGCGAAACTTGGGCTGAAAGTAACTCTTTCGTAACGAAATTTCACTTTTTTCAAAGGCGTCGCGGATAGAATTAGGGAGCAGCAGTTTATTTTTATTTTCTTCTTGCTGGAGTAAAGTTGCAATTTGCGCCACTCTAATACAAGGGTTCTAACAAAAGTTCTCGGAGTAGCAATGAAAATGGCTTACAATCAAGCTGAAAAACATGTATTCTTTAGGGAGAACATATTCTTTGGCACAAAAAAATATCAGCCCTGTTTGACAAATTTTTTTGAATTTTTTTCAGAATTCACCCTGGCAGAGTTTTGCTCTCCACTCAAAAGATGAGGCGCCCTTTTTTTGTAGCCAAGCTTTCCCCTCAGAATTTTTGAAATCAACTTGACATTCTTTCTAAGGGTTGCCTCCAGGTCATCCAAGGCAATTCCGCCATTTTCATCAACAGACGCCTTCGCAGCCACCAAAGTGGCGGCCAATGTGTTCCGCCATTTTCATCAACAGATGCCTTCACAGCCACCACATTGGCTGCCACTTTGGCAGCTGCAAAGGCGTCTGTTGATGAAAATGGCGGAATTGCCTTGGATGACCTGGAGGCAACCCTTAGAAAGAATGTCAAGTTGATTTCAAAAACTCTGAGGGGAGAGCTGGGCTGCGACAAAAAAAGGGCGCCTCATCTTTTGAGCGGAGAGCAAAACTCTGCCAGGGTGAATTATGAAAAAAACTCAAAAAAATGTGTCAAACATGGCTGATATTTTTTGTGTGCCAAAGAATATGTTCTCCCTAAAGAATAAATTTGTTTCAGCTCGATTGTAAGCCATTTTCATTGCTCCTCCGAGAACTTTTGTTAGAACCCTCGTATTGATCCCACACATTAACTGACATCACTGTTTCGGTATCATGAGCTGCATACCGACAACCCTCACTTTGATGCCCCTGATTCAGGGCCAATCTTGGATATACTGTCTTGAAAGTTCCTGGAACGAACATGCCTCCAATCTGTCAACTCTCTTTTAGTGAATTTTTCTTGCCATGGATGAAAAATAGGCCAAGCAGTGAATAACTTGAGGTCTCTCTTGGAAAAATCAGGATGTTCCAGTTGAAAAATCGAGAATTTTCGCTGACGGTGGACGTGTCGAACCTGCCTTGCGGACTGAACGGAGCCGTGTATTTCGTGGAGATGGACGAGGATGGCGGGTTGAGCAAGTACCCGACGAACCATGCCGGGGCCAAGTACGGGACCGGGTACTGCGATGCCCAATGCCCACATGACCTCAAGTGGATCAACGGCGAGACCAACAGCGACGGCTGGGTTCCAGCCAGCAACGACGCCAATTCGGGCGCCGGCAAGTACGGCACCTGTTGCTTCGAAATGGACATCTGGGAGGCCAACAGGTGATTCAAGCATTCCGAACCCTATGATTATTTGATATTCATCCAGTTCTCCTTCCGCATTCCACGTTTACCCCGAATACTGACGGGTGGGGGTAAAGCAGAAAAAAAAGCCCCAGCAGTGTAAACGTAGTGAAAAATGACTTGCCCATCAGGCTGAATACAGTAAAATTCCGTCACAATGAATCTGGTTATAGCCATTTTTCTTCGTCCTGGCGGTTTCTCCATATTTTAAATCCATGTTATAAAAATCCTTTTCAACAAACTTATTTCAGGCTTTAATCTCAGTATAATGCATTTTTCTCCCTGATTCTGTGCAGAGGCAATATTAGATTTGATTTCAGACAAGGAGAAAATTTAAATGTTGTAGCATTCCAACTTTCTCAAAGAAGCAAAATTTTCTGTAGAGAAAATTTAGCATTTGAAAAATACACAACGTGCTGGTATATTTGTTGGAAATTCTTTGACTCCAATTCAGAAGGTATGCGTTTCTTTGCAATATGCATAATAGTGTGTATAGCAAAGTATTGTCTGCTATTTGAAAGAACAGACATTTAAGGTTGAATAATTTGCTTCAGAAGGAAGTGCAACTCTTTCTGCCCCTTTCACTATTGTTCCAGTTTACAGTATTTTCCAAGAAAAATTACACGGGATTAAAAAGGCAGGTCTGCCAAAAGGAAAGTACTGTACTGTTAATTCCTTAATGCTTCTCTTCATTCTGAAATACTTAGATATTATGACAGGTAAGTCTTGAACTATTTAGAAGCACTCAACAGTATAGTCAAACCCTGTTGAGATGCCCCAATAAAGTGCACCAAAATTTTGAATGAAACAAATCTCCTCCATGGTAAATTCTATAAAAACTTCAATAAGATGCCAACTAATGTCATTAGTGATGAAACAAAAGTACTGTTTCCAATTAGTTTTGTATTTGTTACAATGCCAACATTGCTGGGGTAGAATTATAATTTAGGTCAAGGATCTTGTATTTGTAAGAATAAAGAAATGATAATGATCATATTTTTGGAAAAATTGAACAATATATTGACCTAATCTTGAAATTTGAATAAATTGATGCAGCAAAATTAATTTTCTGAAAGATTAATCCATTGATCACAGCAATACTCTTTGAAAAATTACGGAAGTTTCTAGAAAACCTGTATCTCTATGACTAATTGAGGAAAATTGAGTATTTTTGATCAAATAATTTCAAATAAAATATTCAGTAAACCGTGAACCCCTTTAAACTGCCGAAGTTGCTCTGGACATATGGTGGTGTCTTATCAGGGTTTGACTGTGCTTATCATCCATTTCCCAAAAAATGGCATTCTGATGCGCGTTAAAAGCCACCATGAACCGCAATGCAACGAAATTTTTCGCCCTCTGGAGAATGTATTCATCAGGTCCCTCAGAATGGGAGCTCGTTGCATAACTGGATTTTACTGCGTTTGCTCGTGTGAATTCCAGCATGGCGCAGTCCTTCACTCCTCACAACTGCGCAGTGGAAGGTCAGTACAGGTGCGAGGGCACCGAGTGCGGAGATAACGAGAGCGGCGACCGCTACGACGGCGTCTGCGACAAGGACGGCTGCGACTGGGCGGCTTACCGCCTGGGCCAGCACGACTTCTACGGGCCAGGCAAGACGGTGGACACGAACCAACCCTTCACGCTGATCACGCAGTTCATCACGAGTGATGGCACCGACAATGGTGACCTGGTGGGTGTCTTTAGTATATGATGGAATGTCATTATACAGCATCTCTCTCTTCCGCAATGAGACCCTGTTTCCCCATTCAAAACTATTCCTTGACAATCCTCTGCAAATACCTCATGTTCGGAAACTGCCGCACGCGCACGCCAAACAATGCAAAAATTTAATTATTATAAATGAAAGAAAAACGCGAAATCTGATAAGAGTTCCAACCCTCAAAGGGAAGGAACTCACCAAGGCAAACCACCTAAAAAAGAACAATGAAAGACAAGTTTTAATTTCAGCTGCTAGCAAATTTACTGAAGAACAAACACCACTTGCTATCAAACCTTTGGAGTGTGCACATCGCAAAATCTACGAATTTCAGTGGAGTTCTGTTGAGTGTTGTATTGTTCAAAAAACTAATATTTGTGTGTCTACTTTGTGGGACAACAATTCACAGTATATTTCTAAATTAAATTAGGGAAACCAAAAAAGGTTCTCCGGCCTTGTCCCAGGCTGATTCTGTTTTTTATTTCAACATTTTTAAAACTTTACTTTACCAATTGATCCACTTGCAAAAATTCAACATATTTATGTTAAGGTTTCTTCCTGAACACCTCAAGTATGGTACAGTTGAAGCTCTCCGATTCAAATTTGAAGGGACTCCTAAATACATTTGAGTAAGCTAGTTTCTCACTGTAAGGGAATGTGGTGCCTGATTTGTGTATGCTAATGTAGGGCAATTTGTTCTTACCTAAATACAGCTGAACCTCACTAACTCAAACCTTCCCAAGTGAAAAACCTCTTCATGTTGATTTTTTGGTCCTTGCCTGAATTCCTGCAAGGGCAGCATTATACTTCGAGACTCCCCTGAAAATCTGTATAACTCACATTTTGGAGGCCTTTGGGACATTATTCTTGGGACCCAGGATACCAAAGGACATTGAAATGTACCTTGATGCTTTTTAAAAGGAAGTGAGGGAATAATTGGGCAAGTGTCTCTTACCTTCAAGTTCACCATTCTGTCAATGCTAGCTGCTCAAGGTCCAGAAGATCACTGATTTTACTTCATGATTTTCCCCAAGGGCAAATGCTGATTTCCCAAACTAAAAATTTTCTGAGTCAACATTTTCTTGGTCCCTCTGACTTTGACCTAAATAGTTTCAATTGCATCACTGAGAAATGCTCTGTACCCACAAGAAGTTTACTGAAGCCTTGTGGAAAGCAATTTGTTTATTTTTTCTTGGTTTTCTGAAAAAAATTATCTATAATGTACCCCAGGTTCAATAAGAGAATTTGAAGGTTCAGAAAAGTGGATGGAGGCCCAAAAACTGGAAGCATACAAAAAAACGTACAGTACTTTCTTATTGACTGACTGATATACAGCACGAGCTTCATTTGCCACTTGTCAGTGTTCACAAGGTGAAAAAAAAAGTTTCCCTTCCCCTAACTCACACACATATCCACTTGACACATTCTGGTCCATTTCAATAATTCACTAAATAAGCTTTAAATAAAATAAAACCATCCCAGTTAATGTGATGAGTGTGTTATAATTTTGTATACTTGCTTTTGCAGACGCCCCAGTTGAAAAATAAAAATATTCGAATTGCATCCACAGCTTTTCCATCAGGATATAATTATTTTTGCGCATTATTGTAGAAAAAAATGTCAAGGAATCCGGACATCCGCTCAAAATCATCCATCACTTGAACAGATATTCACACACTTTGTTTTTGTTAGGGAATAACTTACCTTAACACAAATTTGTGATTTTTGCTAGTGGATCAATAAATTGGGAAATAAAGATAAGGTTCGAAATTTTGAAATAAAATGCAGAATTAGCCTGGGACTAGGCCAGGAATCCTGGTGGATTTCCTATTTTAAATTGGGTAAACTGTATTTCAGATTTGTCCCACAAAGATTTGACAAACAAGATAAATTTTTAGATAACACAACAACTCAACAGAACTCTTCCACAATTTCGTAGATTTTGCAGTTGTTTGCAAGCCAAAAGGGCACTTTTCTGTTATCTCAGTACCTACTTTTCTGTTATCTCCATACCTTCCCTCTGACCAATTTAACCTGACCTAACCTAACTTCACCTAACTACCTCCCAAAATCAGTTTCTGCTTTCTTTGGGTTTCTGCTGAAACTTATTTTGGGAGGTGGTTAGGTAAAGTTAGGTTAGGTCAGGTTATGTTAGTTACAAATATCTTTTAACTAACATAACCTGACCTAACCTAACTTTACCTAACCACCTCACAGAATCAGTTTTAGCAGATTTGCGGAAAAATAAAATTCACAGTTTCTGGTAGGTTGTCGTGATTATGAACCTGTCCTAAAGATTTGTCTGGATGGTAGTGCAGTCTAGGAGTGAGGTACTGAGATAACAGGAAAGTACCACCAAAAGTTTGATTGTGAGTGTTTTCAAAAAATTTGTTCTTTGGTAAAATTTGGGAGGAAAACGGAAATCGGTTTCTGGTTTTCTTTTGTTCTTCTTGTGTGGTTGGCCTTGGTGAGTTCCTTTCTCCTTTGAGGGTTGGAATTTTCATCTGATTTTGCGGTTTTCGTAGTTTTAATAATTTTACTTTTAGCGTAATTCGGCGTGCGCGGTTTCCCAACAGTTTTGATTACATTCAGAATGTAATCATGTCTGAGGAGTAATTTTTTTTCTTCTCATTTCAAGGTCGAAATTCGAAGAATTTACCGGCAGAACGGCCGCGAGATTTCCAACACGTTCGCGAACTTCCCGGGCGTGCCGGCACACGACTCCGTCACCGACGACTACTGCACCGACATCAAGAACGCCTTCGGCGACGTGCAGGACTTTGCCCAAAAGGGCGGCATGCGGGCCATGGGCAGGGCCCTGGACCGGGGCTTGGTCCTCACCATGTCCCTGTGGGACGACCACTACGCGTTCATGCACTGGCTGGACGCCACGTACCCCGAGGGCAGCTCGGAACCCGGGGCCCTGCGCGGCCCGTGTCCCGACGACGGCGGCGACCCGGCGGAGCTCGAGAACACCGTTCCTAACTCCTCGTTCACCCTGTCCGACATCAGAGTAGGACCCATTGGCAGCTTGTGATTCATCCCGGGCCCCATGGGTTCCGCAGTCCGAAGACTTTAGCAATGGAGACTGTTGTACCGCATTGTACTGTGTTGTGTGAAACGCTTCCTGGGATAAATTCATTTTCGTCGCAAAAGCACACATACCCTGTTTTTCCTTTTATTCAATCGTCAGTTGATCGCCGCTGGCAACACTGAAATCAGAGGAACGTTTTTGAATGGTACTCAAGAACTGGAGTACGTGCATTATTATTCCTTCAAAATTTCGTTCAGGCTAGTGGAATAAGTATTCTGTTTCTCTCGTCTCAAGCTCAATTGATGAATGCATGGAGATGGAGGTACGTTTACGGAGGAAAAATAAACAGTAATTTTCTGACCGCTGTTTCCCTTCTCCTAACCCACGGAAAATATGATGAATGCAGTACAAGAAAGTTTGAAGTTGAATTATAACCACACAGTGGAGGCCCCAGGCGTCTATTAAATGATTACATATCTTCTCTCAGCGTCTGAGATGAGGCCGGCTTCTGCATAGAGAGCAGGCATTATTTACAACACGCTGTTCAATTTTTAAAAAGTGTGAATTTTTTTCTTTTAATGCAGTCCTCGCCCATTTTTTTTTAAATTTTATTCTTGCTTTTGGCTTGAGGAACGGTTTCCAGGGCCTCCATGTGCAGCAGTATTCCTCTAGACCCAGCCAATGTTGAAGATTAGCTAATATTCTGTTGAACATCCTCTGAGAGCTAGTCCTCATGAGAGACCAGCCTCAATTAGATACTAGGCATTCCTTTGAGTATTAATTACAGGATTCTGAGGAAATGGGGTTCATCAGCCACACTCTGGAGATTTAATGAATTTGCACACATGTAAAAAAATTACATCAAATGCTGCTATTGAAAATTAGTTTAGTGAAATATATTCCTGGGCTGAAAACCCATGATCCAATGTGAGAAATGTATCTTTCTTTTTTCATATTGCTGAACTGAATGTGAGAGTATGGTCAAATGCTTTGAAAAAAGTCACCAGTCAGTGTGTAAGAGCCGGAAAGCCCTTAGAAATAACTTCGTAACACAACAGATAAACTTCGTGCACGGTGCGCAATGGATGATCAAAAATTTATTGCAAAAAAATAGTCATCAGATTAAATATCAGCCACGCACCAATGGCAACTTTTAATACGCAACTGTCATGGAGAAGGAATCACCACTAAGGCTTTCAAATGACAAAACAAATTTCAGTTAGACAAATATACAGTATAAGGAATGCTCTTGTCTTCTTGTGTCAGGACTAACAGATCATACGTTTCATATGTTGAACATCTGATTTGCAATGATTAATCTAAAAAATTTAAATTATCAATGCAATTCAGTTTTTTTTGTCCGAGTGTAGTTTTATTGAGCAAACCAATACAATATGAGTAAGTTTTGAGATCATCCTTTGAAAAGACACTAATTACTCAATTTTGTCATGATAATTGTAATGTTGTTGGTGCAAGCAAATTACTAGCTGATCTTGCTTGTGGCAAAACTAAACCATTACTATTTGTATAATCTAACATCCCCATGTTACATGATACCATTGCTCTTTTGACAAACTCAAGACATTTTATTGAAAAAAATTCATCTTATTTTTGAAAGTGTCTAAGTGGTGTAATTTCTGCAGTATAAATAAAGTGGTTGATGCATAACCAGCACACCTTTTTTTCTTATGCCCAGCATTCCACAGCTACAAAAAGATTTGGGACTCTTAAAATTCACTGAAAAGACTCTAGAGGTCCAAGATAATCTGTTAACCTTATATGATTTCTCATCAAAGATTCTCTCCAAATTGTTTCATCAACTAAACCTTATCTGGGAGGGGGTTGAACAACTTGTGATTTAATTTTGGTTTAGTAACTGCTTTAAGCTGCAATTGTCATTATTGATATTATGTTTTTGTGAACAGAGAAGGGAAGAAGTGTATGTATTTACATCAGTTGTGCAGTTGCACTTTTTGGGATGTACAGTATTTTCTTTTCTTTTAATATCCATGTACAGCTTGTTTCTCTGTTTTCCATTTGGATGTGAAGAATGTGTTTGGATGAATGTGGGTGGGGACAGGAGGGGGAATTTGCATGGGAACATTGCTTGAACCTTGTTAATGTCAAAAAGCAGAAAATAGAGCTTGCTGTTCAATTCAATTCAATTGACAAACAACTTATAAATAATTCAAAGGGAGCCCAAGATGCATGTTGACAAGGGTGTATTTCCATACAGGATAAAATATAAATTAAATCTCTCATCAGCCTGAAAACAGGTGTAGAAATTTGAGCCCCAGAAATGAATTGCGACCGTCAGACATATTTCAAGTCACACTAGAAATTATTGATGTCCTGAACGCAAAATGAAGCTATGAATTTCAATCAATGAATCCCATCCCATATTCAAGTCCAACACTTTTCCCCAAATTATGCTTCACCCGCATTCAGCCGACAATCAGAGCGATAAAAGTTCCCCTCAGGCTTTAGCTAGACGAACCAAAATCCCCTTGGACCCATCCAGAAGACCGATATCACCTGCAAACAATTGGCGCGGAAGAATATAAGTAATTTTCTGTATTTAAAAAAAGTAAATTGCAGCTCTGACCTTGTTCAAAATACTTCGTAGCGTTTTTCACACCGACAACACACGGTAGTCCATATTCTCTGGCCACGACGGCTCCGTGAGAAATCAAACCCCCGATTTCCGTGACCAGACCCCCAAGGATCGGAAAATACGGGGACCATCCTTGAACAAGAATATTTTGAATACAGTATTGGGACATCAGATGAACCAATCGTTATGACCACATATTTGAAGAATTCCTGAGACTTCCTAAGAAACTCAACAGCTGTCAACTCGATTAACATTTGGAAGACATGCGCTCTCAATGTACATTTTATTCCATTTCGCACAACGCATACTTTTCAAACTCCAGGTTTGAAACAAAGATGTTGAAAAACAAAATGCTACATAGTGATTCAAGTGAAGATAAAATCTTTCACTAACTAAGTTACTGTACTCACTTTATCATTACGCATACTGAGCAAATCTCAAGTGAGTTCCGGAAAAGACAGTTGATGAAAAATGAAGAAGGCATTGAGAAATCAGTTCAAAACTCATCCAACTCCAGCCAACTTTGTCTAAATTCTTATTCTTAATTACAATCAGACAGAAAATAAATTTATCAAAATCCAAAATTTACTTTCCATGCTGTACGCTTGAATTTCACAGGTGCAAATAAAGCTGTGCCAGTCACATCAAACGAACACAAAATTTTTGAGCCTTCATGTTCCAAATGCACCTTAGCCGCCAAATCTGGCTGCAATCTATTTTCTCACCTCGCCAAAAATGAGATTTTCAAAACCTACCAAGCTTCTGTCAAGCCTCAAGGATGATTCTCAATTTTTGCGCTCTTGCACAATTGTGTATACAAATGGAAGCACGTTATTTCTCCTTTACCTACTGAAATCATTTCTCATAAAATCCATTTTTTTCCTTTATCCGCTGGAAGGACGACATACACGCTAACTAAAATGTGGAGAGCCCAGAAACAAATTTAACTAGTCCAAATGTATCTGATGTAACAAACCATCTGATACAGTTTTGCAACTGGAAAGTAAAGCACTGTATGTGTATACAAGACAGCTCAAGAATTTTTAAAGTATCTGCATGACTACAGAATGCATTAAAAACACATTCTGAACACATTTCAGAAAAAATTTTCTGTACAGCAACACAGAAAAAAAAATAAATAAATGTGTTTCAGAAGAAGCTGGGCGTAACAGTTGGGTATGACAAATGCGTTTTGAATGCGTAACTGTTACACCCAGCCCTAACCTTAACAAATTATTTGCTGGATATGCGTGTAAAAATTCTGCTGGCCAAACATTGTCCATATTTCGTTGGAATAAGTGGACCCAACCTGGGCTTCTGACGAGAAAGGCTTTCAGACAAAAAAAATATTTTCACAAGAATTCGGAAAGTCCTTTTGCATCAGTGCAGAACTTTTAAAAATGAACGTCATGGGTTACGTCAGCATACCAATGTCGGTGCTGTGGGTAACCAGGATATCCCCTGGGACGATGTTTTTCGCCTCAGCCAGCGTTTTCACAACGCGAATCGGCCCCTTGACCTGGCCATGGCAAACAGGTGTACCCGACACTGAGAAATCCACCGATAAATCCGGCTGGATTGTTTCAGTTTCTTGAGGAAGCTATAGAAACGAATCTCATGGCGTCACTCATCAAATGCAATGACGAAATTGCTGATAACTCACCGGCTGTGGGAAACCTTTGCAGAGCTCCGGAAACTGAAGAGCGTCTAGGATTGGATGCATTTTTCTGCGGCGAAGAGCTCTGAAATTTCCATGAATTAAATAACTTACGTGCGTGAGAATGTTGAATATTCCATCAGCAGATTTTTAAAAGTTTCGAAAAAATATGCACGGTGCCCAAGAAAAGCACGCATCCATTTGTTGGCATAAATTTTCAGAAAAAATGTGCACATGATGATTGAGTACATATCGTATTTTGAACAGAAAAACGAAATATGAAGAAGAAACAAGCGTGAAATCCGTAATTGACGTTTCCTCGTGATTACTCAAGTCGAAGGCTACAGATTTTGAGCTAAAAATATTTATTGAAAGAGCTACAATTTACGTTATTTATTTTAAAATCCTAAGCATCAGGGATCCTGCAAAATTGTTTTTGAAAAGCTCTCCGAATCCAAGTTTGAGAATTCCTGCTTTATTGTGTGTACATCATCATCAAAGGTTGGGTTAGGAGGAATCCTTTAAAAAAAAGCCGTCGGATGTTTTGCAGTTTTCTGAGTTACGGTGAAAGCAATTGGTTGCTAGTTTTTTTTTCACAACCAATTTCGCCGGAACTTACAATAAATACTTTATTCCTGCATGCATTTGACCCAGACAACCCACAACATCGCAAAGCCAATCTTTCCTTACATTCAGTGGTACTCTCTTCCTCAATAAGAAGGTTAATAAATTGGTTTATGTCTTTCTTTTTGATATTGATGCAGTAAAATTCCACAGCAATGAACCTTGTTAATGCAAAATTTGCTATAACAAATTTTTCTTTGTCCCAGCAGTTTCTTCATATAAGGATACAATGTTATAAAAATTGAATTTTATTCAACAGACTAATTTTCTTCTGTAATCTCAGTATGATGAATGTTTTCTTTGATCATCTGTGCATGTCCACAGAAAATTTGCAATTGTTTGCGCAACATGGGACAACCCAGCTTGCACATACAGTGCATACAGTACTGGTAATTGAAAAACCTCCAAAAATACAATTGTTAATCTTCTTCTATGGAAAATTTAGCATTGCAGGAGGTACAGGTGGTACTTCGTAGTTTGACCTTCTACAATTTGACTGTCCTGAAATTGAATGGTCAAATTTGCAGGGAGGTTGACTTGCATTTCAACCCTTGCCCCGCAATTTGACCTGCTTTAGCCATTTTCTCGAGTTTTTGCTTTGACATTTTTGAATTTCATGAAGTGTCTCGCAATTTGACTGCTTCAAAATTTGACTCTAGCTTTGGCAACAGATTAGGGTTGAATTTTGAGGTACCACCTGCATGGAGCTCAGATCAAAAATGTTCCAGCTTCATTTTAGAATTTAGGAATGGCTAATTTTTGAGAAAAGGTGTGCTTGAAACAATAAGGCTCTAATGCAAGAACAATATATTTGTTGATGAATAAATTATTGTTTTACACCTGCATTTTCTGTTGTTGAAGCCTAAACATTAGTAAGATCAGCATGTTTTTGGGAAATTTGACAAAGCAAAGGTCTGAAATAACAGAATTGCATTGATCATTCCTGGTTTCCTCCATCACATCATCAAAGAAGTTATAAATAATGGTACAGTAATTCTTTTCATATCTGTGATGGAAGTACAGTTAGACCTCAATAATTCAAACCTCCCTATAAGTCCAGTACCTCCCTAAGTAGAATTTTCTTCCAATCCCTGTCTGAATTCCCTCAGAAACAATGCATTAAAAATCTCTCTCACTCAAAGCATTTTCTCAAACCTCTTCAAGTCAAATTTTCTGAGGCCTTTTGTTTACTATTTCCTTGTAATATGAAAGAGAATAGCAATAAAACAAATGATTTGATGCTTCTTGAAAGAAGTGAAAGAATAATTGAGCAAATGAACTGCCGCCCCAAAGTTCAGCAAGCTGTAAAACAATTAAGAAGCACCTTTAGGCCAAGAATATCCCCATTTACAATTTTCCTCAATTTTTTATTTACTTCTCTTTGCAACAAAATATTCATTTTCTTTACTTGAGACCTCCAAAAACCAAAACCTCCATAAGTCAATTTTTTTTACTGGTCCTTAGAAATCTGACTTGAAGAGGTTTGACTGTAAAATACAGTCAACCCCCGTCTAACTGACTTGATTCGTGCAAGGGACGAGTCTGTTAGACAAAAAGTCCTTTACACGAATTCAATTACAAAAAAAATTAAAAATTTCAATTTTTTCAATTACATAAAAAATTAAAAATTTCAATTTTCCACACTAATTTTAAACCAAAAGAAGTCTGTTTGGCAGATTTTGTCTGTTGGGCAGGAGGAAAAACTGCTTGCAGAGCTGGTCTGTTCAGCGAAAATCCCTTACACGGGAGTTCTGTTAGGCGGGGGGCCACTGTACTACGTTGATTGTTTTTTTAAACCTTCTTCCCCTAAAATGTCAGTCTTATCCATATGCTCAAAGAACTGAGAATCTCGATATAAGGAGTTTTTTGGCATAGGAAATTTTCCTTAGGTCCCGGGAGTTTGTTGTAAAGAGATTGCACTGCATAACCGTTCGTAACGCAATTAAAGCTGACCTCTGAACGCTGAGAGGACATGGCTGTCGAAGGAGTCGCACCAGCTCATACATGGTCAAGAAACACGTGAGATCATCGTCAGGTATTCGTCCCCGAGCCAAGAGCCATTGCGTAATGTCCCGAAGCACCAATCGCAGTTTATGACCGAGACCGATGATGGCAGACTTGGTCGCCTCTCGCTGTCGAACTCCTCTCGCTCCCATGAGCACCAGAAGCTTCATGAACCTCCTAAAATGAAATGAAAATAGCCGAGAAAATTGTCCAAGGTTAGCACCCCACGTCGAAAGTGCCTATCGAAGAAAATCGAAGTCTATGTATCGAACTTTTTCCCGCCTGTCAGGTCGGTTTTCAGGGCCTGCACGATCTCATCCGGGGTGTTGGGGGCATTGTTCTTATTGTTCTGCACCGGGGAATGCGTGCGAACGGACACTTGCAGCGTTTCTGCGACCAATTCCGGCGTCATTCCCCAAGGCTTGCTGTGCGTTTCGAACTGCGGGGACGAAAGAAAACATTACAAAAAACTTGCGAGTTGCTTTGAATACGCAGTCGTTGCTGATTGAAAGGCATAATAGGGAACCTCTCGCAGGCCACGATGTCCGTGTCGCTCGAAGAACTGCTTGTAGCGGTACTCGAGCTGCCCGCCTTGGTTACGCAGCCATGCATCCGCGTCTTTTGGAGAGAGCTGCAGGAATTCCTGCTCCTTTTCCGTTCCTCTGATCAAATCAGCGATATCCTGTACAGGATCAGGTTCAAAAAAACCCGTACAGATTTACAATAGGACCCCGACATCCGGACGACTCTGCAACTTATTAGGGATGGACACTAGAAACGGAAAACCTTTCTCCGGGACATCCGGCAAATGTCTGACCTTTCTCCAACATTTCTAGGAAAAGGGAAACCTTTTATTTTTTGCAGTTTTGGTACATTTTAGACAGATTCAGCTACTGTAGTTGATATTCAGAAAAATTGAAAATACCATATTTACTCTAGTCCACGCGACCCCGAGTAAGGCACGCACAGGGGTTTTTTAGTTGAAAATTTTGCAAAAATCTTATCCATGAGTAAGACGCGCACCCCAATTTTTAGTGAATCGAAAACCATAAAATTCCAAAAATAAAACAAAAAATTTGACTTTAGGCATGAATTGAACAAAAATCTGATGAATTTTCAACTTTTTCAATGCAAAAATGTTTTCTTCTTATATTTGTTCCAAATTTCTCCATTATAATCAAGTATAATGCAAACATAACTTCCTAAAACTTCTTGAAAATTTTGTACCCACTTATGACGCGCTCCCCTTTTTTCCTTCTGAAATTTGGGAAAAAAGGTGCGCATGGTACTTGAGTAAATACGGTAAATTGCATGATAAATTCACTCAAATTCATAATTAATTTGGGCTTGTTTTGTGGTTCTTTTTCAAGTTTCTCTTTCATCGTATATGTGCAGAGTACAGTATAGAAAGACTTGTTCATGTTCTTTGATTCTTGCGCTAACTTTGATGCCCAAGATCTCATTTTGTGTGGTTTTCTTCTGCACAGTGATTTTCTATACTTCAAAGTTGAGAAAGAATTTGCATTCAATTTTTAGGGGTTCTTATTCCTAATTTGTAATAAGCTGGAGAACCAATTAGATCAGTTTCCATTCAAGTCCATGGGAAAATGGGATCCAATACAGTGAGACCCTGACATGCTGACACCTTGACCTGCAGACAATTTTACATCGGCAAACTTATTTTCCCAGGAAAAATTAATGGAAAAGGCCAGACATGAGGACACTGACTTGACATAGGGACATTGTGTGATAAAATTGCAAAACCATTTCAGGCCAAATTACAAGAAACAGGCATTTCCAAACCTAAAATTGAGGTAAGAAAAGTTCTTGGGCATTTCTCTCACCAATTTACCATCCATTTAGCTGATTTTTAAAAATTACCTCCAGCATAGAGGGAGTTCTACTTTTTCACTTGAATGTTATTTTTGTGGATGCCAAAATTTCAATGCACAGTACAGAGATACACTACTCAATGCTCCAAATGTTCTTATTGAGTTGAAAATGTATTCACTAATTCAAATTCAAGTGGCAAACATTTTTTTAAGGGACTTCTGAAGAATATTTCTTTCATAAAACACCAATTAAAAATTAAATATTGTAAGTCCATGGGAAAAAAGACTCAACTTAGGGACACTCTTGATGCACCAATTATGTCCGCATCTTGGGGTCTCACTGTATCTGCTTATGCTCTGACATAGGGACAAGGTAAAAGCACCCATCAGATCCGCATTTTGGGGCATCAGTGCACCTGATTGGTTCCCTGCATAATGAATTAATTGGGTGACAAAGAAATCTGTACTACATACTACAGTATTTGCATAACGAAAAATTGACGCATGTAACGATTTTTTTCCGCACATTGAAACTTTCTAGACAAAAAGTGTTTAAATCAACAGCAGTTCATCACTTTGAGATCTTGAAAGTTTGGTCAATGAATTGATGTACATAGGTGAAGTAATGTTTACCAAATTGCCCAAGTGATTGTCAAGCCGAGAAGGTATAGATTTTGCGTGCCTTCCTTCTGCTGTTATTGTCTGAGGTTTGAAGTTTAAGAAATCGCTTTCAATGCATTTTCGGAAGACTTTTCCATCTTTAACGTGAGATTTTAGTGAAATGCTCATATGGAAGCCTAAGGGAAAATGTGGTCTGAAATGCAAACGTTATTCTGAAACACAACACAGTCTGAGAACTACTGTAATTACTGTGCATGAGTACGCCTTATTAAACCGACTATTTAATGCTGATCTCCGTATGCCAAAATAAGCACGATATTTCTTTCCTGAAACCCAGTTCAAGAAGGTGATGATGGAAAGACATCATCCGTTATCTTTTACCCATGCTTTAAATATCAGTTTTCCCCATGAACCATTCCGAACGAAGTCTATAGTTCGGTCATGCTAATCGATCAACGCCGTAAAAGCGTTTTAAAATCACTTTCACCCAGAGGAATGATTCCGACGTACTGCAGTCAAGGAGTTTCGAAAGTTCACTAAGATCGATGAACTATGTCCAAGGACTAAGCTGAAAATACTGACTGACCCTGAATGTTTCGGGCACTTCGCGAGAGATGACTCCGTCTTGTTGCATCCCCAGAAGAGTAGCGACGTCGCTGATGAGCTCGGGCGACATCTCCACTGAGCAAGACAAATTAGAAACGGATGAGTATCGCCGTAGATTATCCAGGTCACGCAGCAGGCTACCAACCCTTCTTCTTGTCTCCATTCAGAGTAAGCACCATCAAGACTTCGGCAAAAAGACTCAGGCCGCTGACTGATATATGCAACATTCCTCCCTAAAATGTCAAACGCAAATTCAAAACACACTTGAAATTTTTCTGTTATTAAAAAGTAAACCTGTGACAAAGCATCGACGGCCTTGCAGAGTGTTCTTTCGATGTCGTCGGCCGAAGACGTGGGTGAAACTTCCAAATGCAGTTGCGCTCGAAGCCGTTCCGCATTGGAGGCGTGTCTGTTTCCTCGTAGTAAACCCTGTTTAAATGCAAAAATAAATAAATAAAATCCCCTTGTGTCTGAAAATCTTACTGAGTACGAAAATCCGACAATGTGAAGTTACCCATTCAAAAAAGCCTCTTTTGGAGACTATAAAAGTAGGCGCAGGTTTAGAGAAAAAATTCTGAATTATTGATCAAGTACTGTATATGAATGAAAATCCGAATGCACAACTTCATGGAACAAAATCTTGCCAATTACCATTAAGTCTGATAGTAGTGTGTCTCATGGGTTTCTTTTGAACCATGCTGAAAGCTTAGGATTACGTTTCTCAAGAGCCTGAGAAAGATGTAACCGTAATTTTTAGCTTTAATCTCTGCATTGGCTCTGAATCTAAACTGTGTACTATTCTGCAGATTTTCGTGCTTTGCGGCATTTTTTTTTGGGACCACGGGATTTGTGAGCCGCGGGATTTTCTCCCGCACCCGTGCATCAACACGTCTCCAACATAAATCAATCATCGTTGATATATTGTACAGTAAATACAAACTTAAATCACACCAAGAAAAACTTGAGCAAAGCGTCTCCTCATCCGACTTGAAATTATTTTCCTAGCCGATTGAAACGTGGAAAGCAGAGTATTACTTATTCTTTCGCGTGAGAAACGCGACGATTATTACAAAATTCTGGAGTATTTCTCGCCTGAATGAACCAAATCAGTCGAAAGAAGATCTGCAACTTGTTCATGGCAACGTAGCGATCATCCGCAATCTCCTGCATTTCATCCAGTTCTTCAAACACCTTCCCAAATGTACCGATCATGTTGGCTGCAGTGTCCGGCTGAACTTCCCTGGACTTGTGATCCCTCAAGAAGAGCTGAACCATGAGATTCAAGGGTGAAATTATGCATATACTGTACTGTATATGTATTTATACAGTGAGACCCCCAGATGTGGACTTAATCGGTGCATCAAGCGTGTCCCTAAGTTGAATTGTCCCTAAGTTGAGTTTTGTTTTCCCATAGACTTACATTACATAAATTAATTAATTGGTGTTTTATGGAAGAATGTTTTATTCTTCAGAATTCCATGAAAAAAAATGTTTGCCCCTGGAAGTTGATTCAGTGAATATATTTTCAACCCTATGAGAACATTTGTAGCATTGGATAATATACCACTACTGTACAGTTCATTGAAATGTTGGCATCTGTAAAAATATCATCCAAGTCACAAAGAGAGAAGGAAGTCCATCTGTGGTATAGGTAATTATTTAAATTAGCTGAATGGATGGGAAAGTGATGGGAAAAGTACCAACGCATTTTTCTTGCATAGTTCTTAAGGCTGGAAATATCTTGCAATTCAGCCTAATAAAAATCAATTTTCCTAAAATGTTTTGGCAGTTTCATCATGCAATGTCCACATCTTGAGTCAGTGTCAAGGGCCTTTTTATTCCCTTTTTATTCAAAAATAAATGTCCCTATGTTGAATTGTCCTTATGTCGAGGTGTCCGCATGTGGGAGTCTCACTATTTACATATTTTTTTCGTTCAACGGAAAGACAGCATAAGCTACTGTGATAATCTTTGACTGTTTACAGTCAACATTACCTCCAGCAGGTTCAGGAAGATAACTGAGTGCGATGACACGGCTAACCGATGCACGTTGAATAAGGGACAGAACCCATCGGTTGAGCGGAGAGTGATTCGAGACAGATTTTCCGACAGCTGCTGCATTGTGTTGTCGAGGATTTTTGACCCAGTCGTCAAGGAGAACGGTGTCAAGGCACCTGGTAAAACTTCTCTGGAAAAAAGTCAAGTTCGAAAACCAGCTTATTCAGGAAAAGACGAGAACCGCATTTAAGAGATCAAATACATTCACAGAAGTAGCTTGATTTTTCTACTTCACACTTATTTGAAAATCCTGTCCAACTCCAGACAGGCTGTCATTCACTTTTTCTCAGTGTATAAACGGGAACGAATTTTTATTGGAAACATCAGATACATTGCAATGGAAATTGAATACTGTATATTGTATAGCATAAGCTCACATAATTCATTTTTCCATTTGAAATTTTGCTTGTTAGCAATATATCGAAGTCATTGCTGGTGAACAACATGTTGAAAAGAGTAGCTCAGGATAAAAATTTCCCCACGTCTTCTCAGATTTTTAATGCGAAGTGACAGTTTTTAGCGCTAAATTTGAGAATATTCTCAGTGAAAGAAACTTGTTTAATTCTATACAGTATTCACTGGTCAGTACCATGGACCCTTGTACAGTAAAATCTGGTTACAAAAAACTCCCAGGGACCTGAGAAAACATTTGTTATAACAAAAAATTCATTATATTGAGATTAATGATTTTTAGCTCATTTCAGACAGGAATTTTATGGGAAATGGGGAATACATCATTTAAAATGCTTCTACAACAAATAATTCAAGTACTTCTGATGAAATGAAGTGAAATCCTTTGATATAAATAAAACTCTCCTTCAAATGAACTAACATTTGTACTAGAGTATTGCTTGTCATAAAAAAAAAATGAAAAAAATTAAATATGGTAAAAATACTGCACTTCGTTCTCAATCACCTTATTTGTACATAGCTCTTTCAAACATGGAGGAACATTCATTTTACACACTGCTTATTTGAAAAATGCATACATTCTAAAATGGATGAGCTGGAGAATTTCAAAAATATGTCATGTCGTGCATTTTTTTGGACACTATACAATACATTACACCATACAATATTGTACCCATAACAAGCAAAAGACTTAGTGTCACTTTTACCCAAAAATAAAAAAAATTTCTAGATAAATTTGCCTCTGTTGGATGCAATATTTAGGAATTTCCCTTCTACAATTTCTCAAACGAAGGATTAGTTTCTGTTTAAGCCGTGTTTTACCATGGGGGGGGGGGGGTTTAATCTCTGCATCCGTCATTAGGCTAACTTACCCAGTATTTCCGCGGGTGCTGAATTCATGATCAGTCAGGAACCCACTGTCGAATTCATGCGTCAGCTCAAATTCGGTTATTGCATGAACAGTCGTGACGGGGCGACTTTGGAGCAAATAAATGTCTCCCTGGAAATACGAGGTATTCTGTCACATCATTCATCAGGTTAGGATTCGGTCGACGTCTGGGAAAAGACTCGCCTGAGATAAGGCCCATTCTAAATCACGTGCGCCTCCCATTGTATCTTCCAAGAAAATGCCGAGATTTGCCAGACTCAGCGCTACTTCGTCCGAAATACTTGGTGTCTGGCTCCTGCTCGAATCCTCGGGTTCAGACGAAACTTCCACAAGGGTTCCCTCATCTGTAAAGAGATAAAAACAATCTCAGTATTTCCATTCATTCCGCGATAGTGTTTACGCGAATAAAATCTGCCGCTCGAAGTCCCGAGATACTTCACATGCGGGGTTCACTCTTGCGTAAAAAAGTTATTCACTTGGAAATCTGTACAAATTAATTAAATTACCTCGAGAAGCCGCCGCCACATTTGTTCGTAAGGTTTGTGGCAGTGTAACAGGGTTGCCTAATCCCGTAATAATCTACCACCATTGAGGCCTCAACGACCGCCGATTTATTTTGTGAATCAAATTTCTCCTAATGATGCAAGCATTGGAAACCACATTGAAACGTACTCTGCCATACTTCAAGATTACTGTGTATATTGTCGACTCAATCATGCTCCTATTAATATTGTTTTCAATAGTCAGCCCACAAGATTCCTATTAGCAAGAGGCCTCCAATTGAAAAACCACAAAGACTGTCATGGGTCCATTGGATCTCAGACAAAGGAATTGAATTATGCAGCCATCAGAATGCAAGTTTTGAAAAAGAACTCAAAATCTTTTCAGAGGAGTTTACTCTCATTAGGTGGTTGTTGGGTTTATCAAGAAAACTAGAATTATATGAATATTAGGTATAATAGGAAATACAATTCTCATTATTTTTGAGAACAATCAAAATAACCATGGGATGCCTAAATCATACCTGGCTTATGCTTACAAGAAGTAAGTTATGTCATAATTGTATTTATCACTTCCTGATGCGCTGCAGCTCCAGCATACAGCCGCAACCACCCAAGAAAACTGGTTGAATCTTGAAGCCAGTGAGCCTTGCCAAAATCCCATTTTTGTGAGACTCACTGAGCCTCACTCAAGGCCCAGAAGTGGTCATCACTTCTTCAATTTTCCTAAAATTGGCCAATCCTCAGCCACCAAGAAATCACCTGATTTCTTTCTAACCCAGCTAGTCCAAGCACCTGCATATAAAAGCGATTGTTCCTCTTTGAGAGGAGAAGTGAGAACCTAGTGTTAAAGTACATTTTAACTTTCATTACCTCATTCAAACTTCTGAGCTAACCAAACAATCTTAAAATTGACTCTGCCATTAAAACCATTTAATGAACAGCCAATTGGCGATCTGGGCAATGAGAATGAACTCCTCTGAAAAGAGTTTGAGTTCTTAATAAAAACTTGCATTCTGATGGCTGAAAAATTCAATCCCTTTGTCTGGGATCCAATGGACCCAGGACAGTGCTCCTGGTTTTTTAATTGGAGGTCTTTTGCTGAAACAAATCTTGTTGGTGGGCTATTGAAAAAAAAATCATTCACAGGAGCATGATTGAGTTGTCAATATAATCTTTAAATATGGCGGAGGTCGTTTCAACGGGGTTTAAAATGCTTTCATCACTAGGAAAAAATTGATGCATAAAATGAATCGGCGGTTGTTGAGGCCTGAAGGGTGGTAGATTATTACGGGGTTAGATTGCAAGATGTATGATCATTTCTCACCATTTAAATACATTTGCAGCGACTTCTGTCCGATTTCAACGTCAGTCACAGAAAGCGAACCGTCGACAGGGTTCCTTGAGATGACAATTGTATCAGGCTCCACTTCACCAGAAACTACAGTCTTCATTTTAAAAAAAGAACAGAAACATGGATTTCCAACACTTGTGCTGGTATGAGTTGAATATAAGTTCATCTGTACCTCCCCAAGGCCTAAATTTGCAGAAATGTGAAGCATGGCCGGATTTCCGGTAACCGGGTCGCAAGTGAAAAGAACTCCGGCAGCTTCAGCGCGAACCATTTCTTGCACAACCACTGCCATGGGCGGAAGAATTGGGATCCCGTTTTGTCTTGAAAAATCGAAAAATTGTAGACAAGAATTGAAAGCATGTTCGATCGAAGTCATACTTGCGATAAAGCACAGATCTGAAGGCGAACTGCGATGCCCAGCATTTCAGCAAGCTTTGGGACACCTGCAACCAGAAAGTACATTTCTTCAACATCAAGGGTTCTTCTTGACTTTCGATTGGTAAAATCGCCCGTGAGTTTACACTGGTCGACTTATTTTCTATTTATTTTGCATTCACAGTGGAACACAAGAACCATTATTCAATGGCGGAACATGGAGCCTAGGAAATAATCTGCCCTGCGACCGCTTTAATGTCTTCAGCAGTACAGCGAAAAAATATTACCATCCGACACAGATTCATCAGGAGGAGTTCAATTTTCTTGATTCTGATTCCTTCAGAATTCAACTACAGTAAAATTTCATCGCAAGAAATCTCGTTGTAAAATTGTTTCCATTACAACGTATTTTTATTGTTCCCAGCAGTTTCTCAATAGGGTGGATGCCATGAAAGGTTCGCTAAAATCAACTCATTTTCCTCTAGAATCTTAGTGGAACAAATTTTAGCCATTACGTGATAATGCGTGGAAGGGCCATGGTAATGTTTTAATAAAAAGCACAATATGGCAAAACCCAAGTTGTGAGTGACTGAAAAACCTGCAAAAGTTCCAAATGCTATTTGTTTGCACAGAACATTTAGCATTGCAGGAAACATGAAGCTCCAATTTGAATTTGTAGCTATATGTTATAATTGAGAAATGCCTATTTTTGGGGAAAGACGCATACTTGAAGGGATATTGGTCTATTTCGAGGAACATAAAGTTCTTATTCAAAAAAAAGCTCTTCATGCACTTTCATTTTCTGTTTGCTTCAGCTTATAAAGTACTCTATTAGGATCAGCTTCTTTTTTTTAGGAAATCTGGCAAAGAGAAGTTCTGAAATAAGATATAACTTTATTTTGTATTTTGAGATTTCTTGATTTTTTCACAAAAAGAAGCTTTAAAGGATTATTAATTCTTCACATATCCATTGTGAAATTACTTTGAAGCATTCTTACTGGCTGTTTCCTGTAAAACTTCAGTCCTACATTCTCAAAGAACCAAAAATCTCATTAAAACAGATTTTTGGTTAGGACACATTTTACTTAGGACCCTGGGAGTTTGTTGTAACAAAAATTTTAGCATAATATTGAAAGTTGTACTTGCCCATCCATGGAAAATTGAGAAAAAATACTGTATACAGGTGGTACCTTGCAATTCAACCTCATGCACTTTGATTGTCAAATTTGCTGGGAGGTCAACTCTCAATTCAACCTCTGCAACACAATTTGACCTGTGGAGAGGCATGAAATATCAAATGCCATGCATGTTGAAAACATGCCATTTGACCTTGTCTCGCAATTCAACTGCTTTGCAATTTGACCCCAGTCCAGCAATGGATTAGGGTCAAATTGCAACATACAGCCTGTACTGGCTTCTTTATTTTTGTTGTCTTACACCCTCGGTTTTAAGATTCACAGACTAAAACCCTAAATCTTTAAGAGGATAACCCTGGAGGCATAGACTCTTTTAATTTTAGTTCCCCCCCCTTTTACCAGGCACGTCCCAAACCAAGTACTCTAAGTACTTAGGTAATTAGTATTTCAAGTAAAATACAAGTAATGTGTCTTTACAAGTATTTATTAGGACTCAAACATGCGCAATATATATACGCTCATGTACAGACTCTGCTCCTTTTCAGAGGGAATGATCCACTGGAGAATTTACTGTCTAGCATGGGGTTTTATCAACTCAGAGAAACCAGACACAGGGAGGTCAATGCTCAGACATTAAAGTCAAGCCAAACAAAAGAAAGAAGGGATGGAAAGTATTCCGCAACAGAGTTTCACCAAAGTTAATTCTAATGCGGTGGACCGCCAGAGGGCAATCATTAATTGAGCCTTTAGAGAAAGAAACAGAGTTGCGTGTGCATGCGCGGCTGTCCCACATTAATGAGCAGGGCAAGGGGCAAGGAATAAATAGAGCAATTCAGCTCAGCTGATAACATTTTGAATAGCACCTGGGTTGCACCAAAATCAAGCACAATCAGAACTGATTTTGAAATTGCGATTGGGATACATTTATGGAGGGAATTCTGATCGTCATTGCAATTGGGTGGTAATTTCTGGTAGAATTGCGGTTGCACCCCACTCATTGTACCCCAACCTGAACAGATTCAGGGGTTGCCCATGGAATTTTGAAGTCGATATGGTCCTGTTCCACAGTGAGAAAAATATAAATGAATAAATACAAAATCCCACTCACATTCTGGAATCCAGTGACACCTAGAAATGTTTCGTTTTGTCCAGCACTGGACGCTTCATCACTGTCTTCTCCGACGCCAGACGAGCGTAACGCGTAACTACGCGTCTCCCAATCCAGCCCAAACAATTCAATGAATGCAGCTGTTATTGCCCCGGCAATTTTGGGATCCAAGGATGCTTTCCCAATTGCTGCTTCAGCTCTGTGAGGATTGAAATGCTTCAAGAAACTTTTTGAATCCAGGGAAGAAGACATGGCGAAACTTACCGAGAACAGGAAGACTTCAAGTGGTCCTCATCACTGATTGAACTCTGCAATTCTTGCAAAACTTTCCTTATTTCAGGGGAATGGTCGAGTTGTTGCTCATACCCCACTACTGTCACACAGAATCCCTTGGCCACTTTGAACTTCTGTCAACAGTAAATTCGTTATTTTTGACGCTAAACATGTATTGACCTGAAGAAATGTTGACCTGGTCTGGATTTTGCTTGTGGAGTCGGGTCAACACTGCCAGAGAGGCTCCTTTTCCCCCAACCAAACTCGGAATCGCACAAGCAGCTGAGTCGAAGGAAACACAGATTTTCCATTGGGCAGATGCGATCTGCCATTCCTTGGGTGAAATCGGATTTGCAATTGTCCACGATTTTCCCACATTCTCTGGCTCTCTATTATTCAAATGTTTGTTAATATGGTATGAAATCAAAAACAATCAAGATTCCTCTTCAGAAAAAGCCAATAAATGTAGATTCCAAAAATCTTCCCAAATGTTCTTTGATACCTTGCTCTTCCATTCAGGCAAATATTTTTCACACAATGGTGTCCAGTTGCTGGTACCGGGTCATCCGCCAGTCGGTCAATTCATGGTTGCGCACCTGCTGGTCATCAAGCGCTGGTTGGTCTAACCACCAGCCAGGGCAGTCCTTGGCCACACCAATCCCCAGTCCACCAAACCGCAATCATGCTGATTCTTTCTAGAATTTGGTGAGCAGAATGGTATCCTACCACAGAATATTTTTTTTTACAAAATTTCATCTTATAACAATTTTCACAAAAGGAAAAAACTCATCAAACCCAACCTAACTTAACCTAACATATCCTAACCTAACCTAACCTAACCTAAACTAACATAACATAAACTGACCTAACCTAACCTAACATTGCTGAAATTTTGAAAAAAAATCTGTGGTAGGATACCATTCTGCTCANTAACATAACATAAACTGACCTAACCTAACCTAACATTGCTGAAATTTTGAAAAAAAATCTGTGGTAGGATACCATTCTGCTCACTGAATTCTGAAAAAAACAGCATGATTCTTGTCTCCCGATTGTTTGGGTACCCAGACAATTGGGTGACCAAACCACAGTTTGGTGGGCTGGGGATTGGCAAGGCCAAGAACTGCCCTGGCTGGCAGTTGGACCAACTGGCGCTTGACAACCAGTGGGTGTGCAACCATGAATTGACCAACTGGCGGCTGACTGGACACGCCAGTGGCCACAGTGCAGAGAGTATATTCAACCTTAGATTACCAAACCTCATCAGTTGCAGGCACACATTTTTTTTCTTACCAAGAAGGTTGTGGCCTGAATTTAACTTTCCCATATACAGTACTTCAATGGTGAAGAAATTGATTGGCTCTTTCCACGTGAAAGACATTTTATAATGGTATACATATACATGTGGTGCCCTGCAATTAAACTCAAATTCATTGCTGGACTAGAGTTGAATTGTGAAGCAGTCAAATTGTGAGACAAGGTAAAAAACATAAAATACAATGTTTTCTTATGTCTTTGACATTTTGCATCTTGATGTGGGTCAAATTGTGTGGCAGAGGTAAAATTGCAAGTCAACCTCCCAGCAAAATTGACTGTAGATTTCAGGATGGACAAATTTCAGTGTGGTTGAATTTCAAGGTACCACTTGCTCTAGATTATTACTTAGGGAATTGAGCTGGTTTGACTGCTTTGTCAAAACAAATTTTAGACTTTTTTCTATGCATATGGAGGAAATGATAGGAAATTAGACTTATTTTGTAAGAAACTGTGCTTCTGAATGAATCATGCGCCCAGTTGCGACACAACACAACACAAAACAGAGATGAGCAAAAAAAATGCACCAGAAAAAAACAGTGGATCATGATCAAATCAACAATAGCAACTGAGAAAGCACAAAATGGCATATAAGTTTGCCAGAAGGCAAGCGTTCAATGCAAGAATGAATTCTTTTCAAAAATAATTTCCATCCATCTCATTCTCCAATGTATTTTTAAAACATGAAGTGAGGTATTTTTTTCTACTGAAAAAGGGTTGGTAAATAAATTTTCATTAGGTAACGCTGGAAATCTTGCCACAGAGCAAACGTTGGGGGAAGGGTTGCTAAACAGGGGTCTACTGCATGCAAGTTTGAAGTCTTGTTGATGTGGTGTGGTGCTTTTCTTTTTTTAGAGGTGGTATGTGTAAAAAGTGAAAAAATCGTGGACCTCATGGGTTAAGGGTAGTCCACCTCTAACCCAACAACCCTCGGTGTTCTCTAATGGCAGTCCTCCTGGGGTACACAGGAAAAGATGAGCCCAGAGCAGGAGATTCAATTTGTTTTGGCCAAATATGAAACTAATACGAAATTGAGATGGCCATTCACATATCCCACTTTGATTAATGTAACGAAAAAGGTAAAGAATGATGTGAAAAACACCTTGCAATTGATTTAGCATTTTTCGCATACACATTACAAATTTATCGCATCATGCATAAATCGTAGAGCGCATTAGGCCGATGCACAGCATGAACATGGCCGACTGTATTTAGGATGTGCGATCCTTCCGAAGGAAAGATCCAAAAATAAGTACAGCGAAGATACAGAAATACACTGTACCAAAATTTTTAAATTAAAGAGTGCGTGTTGAAGGGGTAACTCACCCATACGTGAACATCGCCATTCCATTTCCGCGGACTTTCCCCATGGTGCAGAAAATCTTCGTCACAATCGTCTGTGATGATTCAGGAAATTCCGAAATCGTTCTGTAAAGCTCTTGGCCAACTTCCAAGGTCAATGTATGACTTTTCGGCCCATCTTAACACAAGATGGAGAAATTCAACTGGCATGGTACAACATTTCATCAAATCAGCGAATGTACAAACCGGTGCACGTGAAGGTTTGCTTGGAGCGTACCCAGGGTTCATGTTCTCCGAAGTATGGCAGACTGAGGGATAATTTCTCAATCGGCCTCATCCATGTGTTAGATTCTATGATGAAGCTTTTATCCCAGCACCTGGTAAAATCAAAAGCAAGAACACATGCGAAACATGAACAATTTTCCCTGCTCTTGAAAAATATGCCTCCAGTTTCCTTTGAATGGCTAAGTGAAAATTGATCAATGTTCAGCATTGAGGAAATTGCAGGTGCAGCTACAATTCTCTGGCATAAAAAATTTGCAGAGAGCTCAAATGAAATTATTATTTTTTTAGTCAAGATGCGAATAGTTTTCAATTTTTTTATTGTTTCACATATTAGGTTTGTTCTGAGCCATAAGTTGTCTTGCAAAGCATGAACGTTTGTCCCGGAATTCCAGTGTTTGAATGATTTTGATTCACCACGCTTTTTGATACACTTGCTTCATACTAAACAATCCAAAAATAAAATTTTGAAAAAGTGGTGAAAATAGCTCCAGTTCAGACAAATTTCCATTCATTCCCTTTCTGAGTAGAAATTTTTGCAACGGCAAAAAAGAGCTCTCTTTGTCATGCTATTTTTTTCAATCTCAAGCCATGATATTACAGGTGGTGCTCTACAATTCGACACTAATCAATCAATGGACTAGGGTCCAATTGTGAAGCAGTCAAACTGCAAGTTATATCAAAGTTATATGCAAGTTATATCAAATGATATATTTTCTAAATTGCATTCGGTATTTTGTGTCAAGTGGGTGGGTTGAATGGCAGTGAAGAGGTTAAATTGCAAGTTGACCTCCCAGGAAATTAGACCATGAAATTGCGGGATGGAAAAATTGTGGGATGGTCAACTCTGCAAGGTACCACCTTTAACTTGGGGGTCAGCTGGATGTTGCAAATTTTCATCACTTGGTTTAACTAGATATTTCTGGGCTTAAACCCCTCAGCTCAAGTGCTATTTTTGGGAACTTCGGTGAAACCAAAATGCGCAAGCTTTGAAAAAATTCTGGCCCTGTGGCATGGTGAGAAAAAATCCTCCACTACTCAAGGTTTGTATGCTATTTGGTACTGATGTTTTGAAAACTTCTTGAATAGGATTAGACTGTCTTGTTCATCTGGTTCTAAACAAATATCTGTACGCTTTTTCTCCTTGATAGGTGTAGGCATTTTTAAAATTTTTGTGCAGCACTAAAATGTTGGTAGCAGTTTGAAAATGACTTTTTCATTGCTGACGCATAAACGTCATTTTTTGTAGTTCTTCATTGAAATTTGGAGAGTCTCATTGGAAGATTTTTGTGTGGACATTAAAGGACAAGAAGCATGAGTATTCAACCAAATTCCACAAACACATTCACGTCCTCAAGGATACAAATGTCAAGGTGTAGCTGTACCAGCAAAGATGAATGTACTGTGCAGAATTTCTAGAAATTTCAATGTGTTGCACTGAATCTTGTGCTGCTTCTACAAGCATTGCATCTACATTTTCTTTTGGTACTTGAGAACAAAGAAAAAAGTTGCAGTAACCATATTCGTTATACAGTAGAATTCCATTACAATAAATCTCATTATAATGAATTTTTTTTGTTATAACAAATTTTTTGTGGTCCTGGCAGTTTCCCTTAGGCAGAGTGTTATAAAAACTTCATTATAACATAGCAATTTTAGGCTGTTATCTCATTACAACACAAATTTGGGCATGATTCTCTGCATTATACGCATATAGGAATTACTCAATAAATGGCAGAAAAAGTAGAAAGTGTTATCATCGGGAAAATACCTGATGATATACACACACACGTGAGCCCACGTGAGCTCAGAGACGTAAATAATAAACGACTCTGAACTGGGTCATAGAAAAAGTAGGCCAGATCTAGATTTCTTTGAAAGGATTCAAAAATCCAAGAACCTGGACTTACACTAGCCCGTCTTCTTCTCCAAATTAAAATTCTGACGCCGATTCCCACTCCTGCAATTCCCGCAGCAACTACTCCTGCCATTGCGTACTCTAACCCGATTACAATCCCACTGGCCAAAACCGATTTTTATTTTGCCAACTCTTTGCATTTTACTTTTTTGATGGTATTATTTGCAAAACTCAAATTATTATCGGGACTCAAATTACTTTCAACGCTACTGTTGAAATTTACGCTGCTGTTGCCGTTGCTGTTGACAATTACTGTGGGAACAACAGGAAGATCACTCTTTGACAACTCTCCCTCAAATGACACTATGGGAATCAACGTTGAAATTGATGGCACCGTCACTTCCTGAATTTTCCACGTCGTCGCCAAACTTGCCATGCTTGAGGATGCTGCCGTTGTGAAATCAGAACTGGGACTGCTGGATGGAAATACCTCCCCAGGAGTTGGAGTTGTAGTCACGACCTCTGAGACAGAAATCGCCGTAACAGCTGGGCTTGGCTCATCAGCCAGCACCCCCTCCTCAACACTCAGGAGCTCGGACGAATGTTTTGCTTCAGGAGTCACGCTGCTGAACAGCAGTTTACAACCCCCTCCTTCCACAAAAATCCTTGGAGCCGACCCTCGACAGATGACTTTGTCTTTTACAACAACCTTCTGTGAAACAAAATATGCTTTTCGCGAGTGCACTTTTTTGTCTTGTTTTGGTCTTTTTACAACTTGCCTTTATTTTGTTGAACAACGCGCAGTTAAAATCAAGAACTGGTCCCTCCAAAACGACGTTTCCATTGTATTCCATGGCCTGACGAACTCCAGTTCCACATAAATCTTTACAAATGTATGTTTCCCCAGAGATCCAACAATTTTCCTCAGCTCTCAAAGTTGAAACAATCAACAAGAGTAAAACCCAAAATCAAAGAGTTCTCATTTTCTCAACACAGTAAATCAGTTGTAACGACAGTTTTAACACGCAGTTTCAAAAAAACTACTGCTCTGAAAAATGATCTTCTCTCTTCTCTCAGAATTTTGTCTCTGCAATTTTCCGAACGACTTTTTCACTTCGAAATTGCTTTGCCAAAAGTAGACTGAGCACTGTGACAGCCATCAGTCAAAACCCAGCGTTTATATACGGCTCAACTACGCAGTTTCTGCTTTTAGCTTTCAACCATGAGATTGAAAAGGGATTGAAAATCAATCGGCCTGAAAAATTCACACCCTCGAAAAATCTGTACAATGGGAGAAAAAGCAAGCTTTTTCTCTGTTGTGTGGGGTGATTGTTACGAAGTACTATTTTTCGTACACCGAGGAATTCATGCTTCTGCGAGACATTCCTCTATTTCTGATTGAGGTGAGATTTTCTCACCAGCACCTTTTGTGGTGCTCCCTTGTCATGCGTTACAATGTTTCTCACCAGCCATAATCTCTGCTGACCTTTTACACCTGCAACAGTCTCTCGGGATACTTAATATTCAAGACGCGGTCTCCACTCCCTCTCTGCTGACCTTTTACACCTGCAACAGTGTCTCGGGATACTTAATATTCAAGACGCGTTCTCCACTCCCTCTTCCCATAAAAAGCCTTGATGCATGTCCTGTCCAGTACTTTCTACACACTGTTTCGAAAGAGGCAATGACCTGCATATGTTTAAACTCTTGGCCAACTTGGAACCAGCAGTTTTTGGAGTTTATAAACCCTAGCTCCAGACTGCTAAAATCAGTTGATCACCAAATCCTCTAAGGAGTCAGAGTCCGTTTAGAATCCCTGCCGTTTGCATTGTTCGGATTGCTTGAGTTGTCTGATTCTGAATAAAACTTGTATTGTCAAGAAAGTCTGTCTGTTATTTCAAAAGTCTCGCGTCGCCAGCACTTCGCCTCTCCGCGAATCAAGGAGTAAAGAACTCCAAGAGGAAAGACACTCTTTTACGTTCCCAATAGTTTTATCTTTTAGTTATTCTAAATTAAAAATAAGCTAAATAGGATAACAAATTCTGGCGCAGTCGGTACTCCTTTTTGCGCCGGGGTGGTGTGTTCAGTGCTTTCTCTGATTGGTGATCAACGCGTCGCGACCGAGACTGAGCTTGTGTTTAGCTCCAGACAGCAGTAATTCAGTTTTCAATTTTTCTTTCTGAATTACTAGCACAGACTCTGACGAGAGCTGTGTATTCCCGTCACGAAGAGATCGTAACGGAAGAAGTGTAAAAAACCGAAGTGTTTTTAGCTTAGCAATAGAGATTGCATTTTTTGAGTTAAAATAAAAACTTATTTTGGCCTGATCAACCAAGATAGTTTTTTCCTACCTAACGTGGGTAGAAGCGAGTTTTTTCGAAGGGAAAACGAAATCCTTGTAAAAAGGCAAAGGTTAATCTTGTTCCTGGAAAAAGATAGGTTTTTGAAAAAGGGATCCTACCTGCGGGTAGAAGAAGTTGTTGGAAACTTTCAAAAAGAAAAATTGCTTCTTGTCAAAAGTTAGCCTTCTAGACAGAAGCAAGAAAGAACTTATTAAGTTAGTTCTTTGTCCCTAGTGTTAATAGTAACCCTCTATTAAACTAGAAGATCCGCTCGGGATAAAAACGAAAGAGATCCGCTCGGGATTAAAAACGAGAAACAATTGAATTTGCGCGTGAAAGTGTGAAAAAGTGAATTGTGAGAAAGTGTGGAAAATCATTAGAATTGTTGTATTGTTGTATTTTATGTCTAACAAATCCGGACCCCAAGAAAATAATTCTCAATCTGGTCCTCCCCCAACTTCTCGTGCTCAACAATATAACGCTCTTTTAATTTCCCGACTTTTTGAAAGCGTTTACGGTAACACAGATTCCCAACCTTCCCGGACCTGAACATTCTCCTATTTCAAACACGTCCGCCTCCATGACTACAACAGTAACCACCACAACAGCAAACTCTGATACAAATTCTGAAATTTCCCAGATTCCTCTTCTTCGCCAAATTCCAGGTGAACTAGACTCCCTCTATTAAACTAGAAGATCCGCTCGGGATAAAAACGAAAGAGATCCGCTCGGGATTAAAAACGAGAAACAATTGAATTTGCGCGTGAAAGTGTGAAAAAGTGAATTGTGAGAAAGTGTGGAAAAATCATTAGAATTGTTGTATTGTTGTATTTTATGTCTAACAAATCCGGACCCCAAGAAAATAATTCTCAATCTGGTCCTCCCCCAACTTCTCGTGCTCAACAATATAACGCTCTTTTAATTTCCCGACTTTTTGAAAGCGTTTACGGTAATACAGATTCCCAACCTTCTGAACCCGAACATTCTCCCATTCCAAACACGTCCGCCTCCACGACTACAACAGTAACCACCACAACAGCAAACTCTGATACAAATTCTGAAATTTCCCAGATTCCTCTTCTATGTCTAACAAATCCGGACCCCAAGAAAATAATTCTCAATCTGGTCCTCCCCCAACTTCTCGTGCTCAACAATATAACGCTCTTTTAATTTCCCGACTTTTTGAAAGCGTTTACGGTAATACAGATTCCCAACCTTCTGAACCTGAACATTCTCCTATTTCAAACACATCTGCCTCCACGACTACAACAGTGACCACCACAACAGCAAATTCTGTTACAAATTCTGAAATTTCCCAGATTCCTCTTCTTTGCCAAATTCCAGGTGAATTAGACTTCACTGCCTCTCCTGAACAAGAAGAGTGCTTGACTTATTTTTCCAAAACAGATTCTAAAAAATAATCGTTCTTTTCTCTAAAAATAATGGCAACCTCAGCCAAAGCTGCTGCAGAAGCTGCCGCCGCCGCAGCCGCCGCCATGGGAAATTTGGGTAACCAAAGTAATCTCCAGCTCTCTCCTGCTTTACAGCAAGGTGGAAGTGATTCCATAGATAATGAATTTTTTAAGATGAGCTATCCTGATAAATTAACTTATGTTCAGCAAAAATTAGCCGAGACCAATAATCAAATATCTAAAATTCAAGCTGCTTTACCAACAGCTACGGGAAATAGAGCTGCTAATTTAGCTGCTGATATGAATATTTTACGGACGGTAAGAGACGATTGGGCTGGCATGGAAAAATCCATTGCCACGCACTTAGAAACCATTAATGCTAGCAGAATTATGATGCAGGAAAACGAAGCTGCACTTGTTGCACGAATGATGCAGCAACAACTGCAAATCCAAAAAGAAACCCTAGAAGAAACTATGGGTTTAAGACAATCGTTATTATCTAATACTTTGCTTGGGACCTTGGAAAGTCCCAGTGCTGAC